ATATTATAAAGAAAAAAGTAAAGAGTATCTATTTAAATATCCATGTAGTGACTGAGTTTCTTTTTATGGTAAGTTGACGATCACTAGAGCGAGATGAGAAGTGAGGATGAAAGTAGATCAGATGATTTATCATGATAAATTCATCAAAAATAGCCACAATAATTTCCAGGAAGAACTTGGTGTACCTGATAAGGTATATTACTAGTAAAGGAGTCGCAAGTCCTCATTATTAACAATCTCTTCTCTCCTGTGATAATGGAACTAAAATACAATGTCTCGCCAACTCATTTTTTCCGCAAAATTTGACAAAGGCGACAAGGAAACAGAATTATTTATAGCAGTACCAGAAAAGGTAAACTCGAAATAAGTCACTATACCAAACCATCTGGCCAAGGTAGTCATAAAAGACTATATAACAGTAGTAGAACATAAATGGGTCGCTATGATAATATATGGAATTACAATTTATCAATTTGTAAAGCAAGCGACGACCTGCAAATACATTGCAGGAAGTTAGTGGATGCAGGTGGCTCAGGACCGTTCCTTATGGCAGTCCATGGGGAAGTCTATGTTCAGCATTGGACAGATAATGGCTAAATATGATGCAACCAATTTAGTTTAATAAATTGTATACTGGACTTAAATAGTGATATATTATTGTGCTAATGTTATTATTAGTATTTAAAACAAAGTTTTAAATAAGAAACTGTAATAAGTATCTCGTAAATTGTAAGGCAAATTTTTATTTTCTTGATTTTTATATGAATTTTTATTCGCTATAAATGTAATGTAATAAAAAGCTTAAACTAATGTATATAAAAAGTTGATCTAACAAGTTATATAGAGTGTAAAAAGTTGATAGTATTATACAACAAACATTGCATCCGTAATTTACTATATTAAAAAATAAAAAGTCAGGATATTAAAAGTTTCCTTGTGAATGCATTGCTGATTTGCATTTATCTAATAAAAACCAAAGTGCAAACCCTAGCACATTTTGCAAGCGAAATGAAGAGCCAAGGGGGAATACGGACGATGGGTGCTTTGTAAATAGTCACCGCAATGGCTTCTTGCAGATTAATTTCAAGTGAGAGTGCATCGCGAGCAGGTATTGAAATGCTGCTGTGTTAGATGACAGGTATGATACCATATATAAAGTGCTGTTTACCTTGCACTAATTAAAAACATTATTTACATATAAAAAGCAGGGATATATACAAGTAGAAATAGTCTAAAATTAACAAAATAGGTTTTCTTAAATAGTAAACTGAATAATTTTGTCAAATATGATTATCATAACAGCCATAATGTAGTAACTCATAACTTTAGTAGATTGAGTTTCAAATAAAATAATCATTTAAAGTTAGGACTCATTGTTTATTATAGTGCTTCTACTAATAAACATTTCTATATTGCTGTAAAAAAAGGAAAATTACTTTCTGAACCACGCGCCCTTATTTTGTCTTTCTAAATAATATTCCAAAAGAAAATAATATTTTTAAAACAATTCTGTGCATAAAATCAATCTACTTCTTTTATAGAAGTAGATTGTACTATTACACCAAAACACGAAAAAAACGACTGTTATTGGAAAAATCATGTATTTGAAAAATTCATAAGCTTAGGCTGAGGTTCGATTTTGAAATTCGCAAACTGCTGATGTAATAATTATGTTTCTATATAACATTTATCCAAATTTCAACATTAAAGGTATATCTATTCAGAATAATGTTTAGTTGATCGTTTGCAACTTCTTGTTTACTTTAAACTCCAATTCCCGCTGCAAACTAAGTCTTCAATAGTCTCTAGAGATTCTATAGATGAATGGAGAAGACATGAAATTCGACAGAAATGTGCTTGATTTAAGCTAAGCTATAACAGACACAAGTTGTTATAATAATTTCGAAGAGCCATGTCTATTATTAGAGTCCTTATATCTATTCCCCAAAATAGTTACTTACCTTTATCGAGTTACGAAATTTACTCTATATATAAAGTGTACTATAATAATCATATATAGCACTGTTCTCTTTTCATATACATTTTCTTATTTTCTGATTCACACTGATAGTATGTACTAATTCTTTAACATATCTATTACCGTGTGGTCAGTGACGTCTATGGTACTATTTATGTCCAAAGGTTACACACAGTTGACACTTCCCATCAAGATGGGCTATATAAATATATATAATTAAATAATTATATATATATATATATAATTATTTAATCATTCATCAGTTATTCCTTTGTACCCTGTTATTTCACTGCTATATCCCACTCTTCAAACCGAAACATAGCCACGTAAATACAGCTGCTTCAAGATAGAAACACGAATGAGACAGAGGTGCCCAAGCAAACAACCTTTGTACAACCTTTGTCTCCCTCTGGTAAATATATAAGTAATAGCAGTAATGGCGAGCCATAGGCGCCACATAGCATTTTGTAATTATCCTTGACGCTGTTTATGTCTATAGGCGACGATTACCCACTATTAGATGGGCGTCAGCTTCTCATTTCAAATTACATAAAAAATTAATAAAGAAAAATAAACTCAACTGATCCTTTATGAAAACAGTCATTGAATTGTAAAAATATATGTAAGGCGTCATAAATCGTTTGTCCCCTGTCGCCACTGGCATATATTATTTTCACGGCAGCAACTGTCTACCGTGAGAACGTAGCAAGACCCCAGACTCTTAGAATGCCTTTCTCGAATACTAAAAATATCGTTGCATGTGTTGGATTTACTGCGAGCATTCCGTGCGTGGGGATTTTCTAAAACGTCGTACATCTTCTTTATTTATGTTTACAGCTTATACCGACCGCATCCATTTCCTATATAGTTTGAATCCGTTTATCGGATTTCGAACACGTTTCGGTCGAATCCCATATCGTAAGATATATTATAAGCGTATTCCGACTACCCTTATAAAATTAATGCCCATGAAAAGAATCCATGTTCCAACAAAAAACAGATCAAATGCTATTCAGAAATGTGCGGAAAGGATTCTACACAATAAGTATCCAGCTGTACCTATATCAATGAAGAATAGATCTGAGAGAAATATGTTCTATTAAAATAACTATTTTTATGAATTTAAAAAATATCATTGTGATCTTTTCTATGTGACACTCGCTTACATTAAGACTATATTTGTTTGCAATATAATAGTGTTAAACAAATATACAAAACTAGTTGTGAACGGTTACCATGGGTTGGAAAGGTTACCACGTAAATAAATAACCCCACCTACGCTATCGGTTTACACTACCGGAGTACCAATGAGGAGTGAGAGATGATAAGTGCAAAACAAGTTATGTTTATTGGTCCATCGTTATAATCACCAGGAGAAGGAGATTGATCTGACCTTATATGTTGTTAGCAATGGGGCGGCTAGTCTCCATCACTAACAAACCCTTCCCCTGATCTAATACGGTTTCATTGGCACGTTATACGAAGTGAATCGTGTTATGATTCATGTAAGCCCCCAGGGGCGAGCGAGTTTTTTAACTCCCCCAAGGGAAACATGTACACGCTACAGACTCCAAAATTATCTTTTACTAGCGATCCTTTCTGGCTTTGTTCGGGTAGATAAATATAATAATTTATATTGGCTTTAATCGGTATGTTTTTTTGTATATTTGTTTATATTATTGTAATTCTTATAGAGATCTCTATTTTTTTTTAATATTATATTGCTCGATAATGTAGACATAGATGAAGGGATTTTTGAAATCTGTTGATTAGTTTTTTAATTTATTCATTACAAACATATAAAAAATATAGTATCAGACTAGTAATCTGCCCCGGTTTTGCACGTGTGAATAAGTAGATCTCTATTTTTTTAAATAAAATACAATCCATGTTACTCACTGATGCAAGTTTCCATAATTTAAAAAATTCTTAAATAGGTTAAATTTCTTTAAATGATCAATTAAAGATCTCTTTATATATATATATATATATATATATATATATATATATATATATATATATATATATATATATATATATATATATATATATATTTAGGATAAAGGATTAATTCGCCATAAAGTAAAACACTACTTGTCTGATATTATTATGTTTCAGAATATCATTCACTTACACGTTGCGAAAACGACTGCCCTTTCCGAAAGGGTATCGCCATTTATATATACCCACGTATTATTATTTATACCACCACCGAATCGTTGAATGACTAGTATTTAATTGTAAATTCATTAATTGTTATGAAAATTAATTGTTAATATTTTATTCCAATTGTATATAAAGTTATTAAATATGAATATATAATATTTATAACATAAATTAGATTTATTTATTGGTATATTTTAGAAACAAACAAAATAAATAGTAGTTTGATGTAGATAGGCATAAGATTCACTAACAAAGCTCCTTTTTTTATACAATTTAGAAGCAAACAAGCTGACGGTCCACCTGATGGAAAGTGGTAACCGTCGCCTATATTAAGCAGTATATGATATAACAGAGTATACTATTTCGCCCAATGCGTTGTCATAGACATGTTATTCCTCGTATTAGAAACACATATTAAATTGAAACACGATTAGATCTTATAATATAATCTTATTATTTGACAAATCTTCAAGTTTTTCATATTGTTAGACTACTGTAAAAATAATTTTTGTTAATATAATTCAGTGGGCAACACTGATACAATTATTTATCGTTAAAAGAATATGTTTATGTATATTATCGTGTATAAGTATCATAAGCGAAACAGCATACTCTGTTATATCCATGGTGCTATTCATGTCGATAGGCGACGATTACTGCTTTCCATCAGATGATTCTCAGTTGCATAAAAAAATATATACTACTAAATATGGTGATCACACATTCAGTCATGATGTTTTGTAATTAATATTTTTTCGCTGCATAGTACACATAAATAAACAGGTGTGGCAATTCATAAACTTATCTTTTATTTATCAGAGCAAACAAAGATAACCTAGCTACATATTCTTTTATCTACGATAACCAGCCAGTCCTCGATCGAGTGTAAAAACGAACGCACAGAATTATTTTGAAATTGTGTTGTTGGTGGATGTGATTTTTCAAAATGGATGGTAGTAAGGGAATCAACAAGACAACAGCCTCTAAACTGGACAATCAGATTTATTGCGTCAGGTATACGCTGATGTGCTTCAATGTGGTTTTGTGGGTGAGTGACCAAATTTAATGTGACTAATCTTATAAAAGTTTTTACCTGTGGTATTTTTGCATGACTCGAATGGATAGGTACCTATCACCGTTTTATCAATTGCTGGCAAACAGCAATATCTTGATAATTCCAATAATATATTATTTAAAATCAATAGCTATAATGAAGTTTCATCAAGTAATACTTAGTAATAATTTCAGTTTGATACACAATTCATGCATTGCATTGAATACTGGGTAGAATCAGCTGTGTGGTTAAATTGCCCACACTTTTTTTCCTGAGAGTGTCGTAAGAGGAGACTATGAGAATTTAATGGTCAAAGGATAAGCAACTATCTCTCTTAAAACCTCACCAAAGCCTAACTGCGATTGCCAACACGTTTTCAATCGTGTGAATGTTGAAAATAATAAGCTCAGTTGGATGAATAATAAAAATGTATGTATTATGTGAAGTTTAGAAGAGAACAGCCAACTGTCATAAAATATTATATTGTTATATTTTTGTATTTAATATTTTGATTATAGAACATTAATAAAAACGACTATAGGTTTTTACAACAGTTAACAAAAATCTTATATGATGATGACATAATGGCTGGATAGATGTTCAAATTACATTGTACCAATAAACAAAATATTTGATTGGCAACGCATGATTGGCATATAATATTTTATGATGTTCATGCTATTGTTTATTCCTGCCGATAACAGCTTATTTTTTACATAAATAAAGATACATATCACATAAATAAGATGGTGGATAGTGGAGAATTATCCAAGCGAGTCGCACAAATTGCTACCACATAGATATACAAAGAGATAGACGTTACAAGTACATCAATCGTCATATAAAAACCAATTGTGTTACAACCGAACTATTTGTCGTGATATTACAAAAGCTATTTTATTGATTAGCGAATACCCTTCCATAGCAAACCCTTTCGAATATGTAAAGCTGTTTTTGTCTATTCTCTTATCTTCAATTCTCGAAACTCCGAATCGCAATTTAACCAGAAATAATCTAATTGTATTGAGTCTAATTTAGGACCAAAACTTGATACGCAAGTATATATAGTTGTGATATCTATTTCAATTGATATTTGTGCTGTATAGTAACAGTGTTTGATCAATATTCAAATAAACTTATGATGTTATAATCATACTTTATTATATTATATATTTAGTAATATAAAACCTAAACTTTATATTATATTTAGTAATATAAACATCATTATATTTGCCGTGTGGTCACAGTATAGACTGGACCATCTTTTTCCATCCCGTGAGTATCGTAAAAAGTGACTAAGGAAATAGTAGTGGGATAGGCAGCAGCGTCCCTCTTCAAACACCACCAAAGCCTAACTGCAGTTGCTAATCTACCTACCAAGCGTGGCAACCACTGTCAAAACTCTCTTTATAGAGGAGGCCTATGTTCAGCAGTAAACAGTTTTTTTTTTTTTTTTTTATGGGTGAAACTGGTATGGTAACCCCGCCTACGCTAACGAGGTACGCTGGCGGAGCACCAGTGAAGGGTGATAGATGAGAATGAATACAGGTCAGTTATTAGCCCATCATTTTTATGATGAATTCATCTAGGAACATAAATAACATTATTTATTTTTGATACCACGATATTGATTCACCAATACCCACAGCTGGCAATTTTTGTCCGTTTGCTACAGTTATGCTTCCACTATCTATAGAACGATAATTTTTTAGGGTCATATGTCCCGATGCTCCAGAGTCGATTAGAACCGCGACTTCTGACAAGCAATCTGTTGTATCTTCTATGTTTTGTTCAATTTTTGACATATTTGCCTTTTTTACCTTTTTAATAGGGCAATCAGGGCTCTTATGTCCAGGTTTTCTGCATTTAAAACATATAATAGGTTTCTTCGTCTCATCGACTTTGCATTTAAAACATCTGATGTATAATCTTCACAATTTCACCAACATTTTTATAATCATTTATGAAGGTGTTTCCGTCTTCGCTTTTAATGCACCATCATCATTCTTCAATAACTTCGTCTTAACCATTTCTGATGGATGTTCTAGAGCCATTACTAGAGGATCATAACGTACCGCCTAATAAAATCGAGCAAGAGAGCTATCTTCGAATGGCCAAATTTTGGGCAGTTGGATTAATTACGACTCTCAGCAATGGGATTCTCAGTGACAACTCCATTACTAACAATCCCTTTCGCTGTCCCCCAACAGTAAACAGTTAACGGTTAATATGATGACGATGATGATAATAAAATCATTACATTTATGTTCAATACGTAACAATGTAAAGCATTTTTTTTTTATTAATTATTAAATTACCGTTTATCACAATTTTCATACGAAATAATCAGAAATAAGGACTATGCATGTACAATTCTTATCAAAACTCAGATTAGATACATGCCCTGTTTTCCGACTACTATATCGTCATTATCATGATTCATATAGAAATATATAACATTCTTGTTGAATTTAAACGTACGCAGTGTTAAAGAGGTTGTACTTCCGTTATATGATTCCGTTGATTCATTGGCCCTTTTATCTTTATATTTCTATTATCATGCCATTATCTTTTTCTGTGAACAAGATGAGCAAAAGTTTGCTAATTTTGTACTAATGATTTATAGAATAATCAATCCCATAAATGTTTTAAGAGGCGACTAAGGAAACTTAATGGGCGAAAGGTGGACAGCAACGTCACTTTTAAAACGTCACCAAATCCAATGTAAAGCATTTTTTTTTTAAATGCCATTACCAACACGCATTTACCAAACATGTTATACCTAGTTGATTCATTGGCCCTTTTATCTTTATATTTCTATTATCCCCCCAAGATCCTCCCCATGCACAGTTAACGGATGATATTATAATGATGATGACTTATTATATTGCATTATAATTCGTTACTCATATTTAGTATTCGATCTCTGTTTGAATGAATATATTATTTTACTCCTATTATGCTCTTCTACTGGTATGAGAATTTGCTTTTCCTCGTTCTGCTATCCTTCAGCTAGAGTATAATGTACTTTAGTATATGTTTTTGTACTTATTTAAAAAACCTTTGCCATTAGATTTTTACTGTAGCCTTTAGTGCCAATGACACCCCAATACTATACATTTTATATCTGATTTCAAGTTATTATATCATTATTATCATCATGTCAACTGTACACTGCTGTATATATCCCCTCCCATAAGGGGGAGTTTTCCCAGTAGTTGCCACCCTTGGCAGGCGGTTTGGCAACGACAGATAGGGTTTGATGATATTTTAAGAGACCTGCGCTGACGACTGAAACACTGCACATTCCTTGACCATTAAGTTCCGTCAGTTGTCTCTTACGAAGGAAAGGAAGAGGTAGCCCATTCTATACTAGGAGCACACGGCGATATAAGAAGTAATTCTATACTTTGACTTAATAAATAATTAATTCCATTTCTATGTTATCACTAGCTGTAGTCTTTGCCTTTCCAGCGCGAAGTATGTTAAACATCTTATTGCAAATTCTGGACATTGTTCACCAATATATCAAAATTCATTCAAATAGATTCAGACGTTCGGCGTATCTGAATAAGATATATTGGTAATATAATCATACGACGGAAGACAGGTTTCTTTGTGTAAGAAATTCATGGTTCGATTCGTAGTCGTAAATTTAGAACTTTTATTAAATATATAATTGCTACTATATAAATATATATATATATATATATATATATATATATATATATATATATATATATATATATATATATATATATATATATATATATATATATATATATATAAGATGTTTTATATACATATATATATATATAAAACATCTTGATGAATATATTGTTACATGTTATATTAAACAACAAGTTATCGTAAAGAGACATTAGAGGCACGTGGCGGCGGCAGTAAATCGCTCGGTGCCCACAACTTGCCGGACTAAACGGCAGTTACGCACACAGTTAATTAATCGTTTATTACGTTAGCTGTTAGTACACAAGAAGATAATTTGAAGAATAATATCTTCAACTGATTCTCACATAAGTAGTGATTGAAATAGTGACTGTAATCCCATAAGAATTGATTTCTATATATTTTATACGTACATTTTGACAAGTAAATGATATAAACTGTAAAAGTAACCGACATAGCCCGAAGGATAAACAAGCTGAAGTAGCAATGGACTGGTCACAGCTAGCTAGCTCGAAGAACCGACAACTGATGGGAAAGAAAGGTTCTTGAGTGGCGACTTCGTACGGGCAAATGCAGTGTAGGACGACCACCACTAATTTAAATTAGTGGATGCAGGTAGCTCAGGACCGTTCCTTATGGCAGTCTTTGTAGAAGGCCTATGTCCAGCAATGGACGGATAATGGCTGAAATAATGAAAAAACTAAAACACTGGTCTCTTTACGAACGAACCAAGAATGTCCAAATGTCCAAATGAACCATTTAATCTTCTAATATGAACAGCTCATACAACACATGCAATCATCTCACTCTTTCCTTCTTACTATATATCCTATACGATAGACGCTGTCAACAAATCATGTAAAAAAATCAATAATAAACTCTTTCTATTACAACACTAATAGAATAATAGAAAAATAATACAAGTGTTTCCAAAAATGTCTTTAAGTAAAACTAAGGTATTCTTACCACGCCTAATAGAATTCCAAATTTATCTTTTAAAACGAGAACACTTGTTCTTCTTGTATAATTTTTTTTATAAATTGAGTTCTAAACAGCACCAACCTCCTTTAAACAACCTCCAGTTTAGTATAATTGAAAATTTCTGATTTATTGGTATGACCAGAAGCACATTATTGGTTTAAATAGTTCTACGATTTATTCAGCAGCGAGCAATATTTAAAATAACGATGATATTAATTAAAAAATAACCCGTTTCTACGCCCAAGAGTATAAATAACGAGCACTTTAAACCTGAAGCACCTCGAGAGAACACTACGTAGTCAGCTGCAAGGTACGCGAATGCCAAA